TAATCTCTTTTCCTGTAGTTGGAATCTACTGCTCTGTGTCCTAGTCTCCAAAGAACCAAAAAACAAGCTTGCTCCATCCTCACTATGACATCCCTTCAAATATTTAAACATAGCTATCATATACTCTCTTAACCTTCTCTTCTCCAGGCTAAGTACACCCAGCTATCTAAGTTTCTCCACACAGGGCATGGCTTCCAGACCTTTCACAATTTTGGTCATCCTCCTCTGGACACACTCCAGCCTGTCAATATCCCTCTTGAATATATGGTGCCCAGAACTGAACATAATATTCCAGGTGAGGTCTGACCAAAGCAGAATAGAATGGCATTACTATTTCTTCAGTGTAGACACTATACTTCTACTGATGCAACCTAGAATTGCATCGGGTTTCCTAGCTGTTACATCACACATGCCTTGGTTACATCCCATTTGTAATGTCCTGTACATGGGCTGCCTTTGGGCCTTTGCAGACTGCTAGAAATAGTGCAAATTGAGTCCAATTTTAGGGTTAGGGAATCATGGGAACTGTATTTTATTGTGGCACCAGAGCTCTCTGACAGAGAAGGCTCAATGTCTCAGAAAAAAACCAACAACTCCCATGATTCCCTAGCACTAACCCTAACCCTTAAAGTAGACTCAATTTGCACTATTTCTGGCAGTCTGCAAAGGCCCTTTGAAACTTCAATTGATCCAAAGAGCTGCAGCCAGATTGCTAACTAGGCCATCCTACAGGGAGAATACAACTCCCTTGTTGCAACAGCTCCACTGGCTGCTGGTTCGCTTCTGGGGACAATTCAAAGTGCTGGTGATGACCTATAAAGTCCTATACAGCTTGGGTCCAGGCTATTTGAAGGACCGTATCTCCCTTTAGCAGCTTGTCCTATGATATCTTGATATAGGGAGAGGGAAGGACATGAATGCAGGCACAGTTCAATTAACAAAGCCTATGATAAAGAAGATAATCTTTACAAAGCTTTTTTCATCTCCAGCCCCACTTTTTCTCCTTGCTCTCTGTCTAGTTGGAGTTTGCTAGCAGCATCAGCTTTGGAGGAAGGAGGAGTGGAGAAAGAGAGATGTTTGCTGCCAGGCTGCAGCAGTGTCTGAAGTAAAAAATGCAATAAAAGCTTGAGCTGAGAAAGAGCAGGATTCTACTCTATCTGCTCCTCTTGCAGCTGTGTGTGCTTTCCTGCAACAGGCAATGTAAGCAGCAGCTACTTCCAGAATCCCTTACTAAGCATGTGTGAACAGCAAGAGAGAGAGAAGAAAAAAGAAAGCAGATATGCCAGCCTCACCAGCTACGCTGCCCCCCCAGGTTAAGAACAGATCTATAGGTTTGACCACCAAATAGAAATCATATGACAAGTAGAGGCTAAAAAAACAAAAATAATCTCTGAATGCACTTGAACAAAGCTTTCAAGTAATCCCTAGGTTAAAAATGTTTTTTATCTTCTTAAGCAAGGCTTACCCAACTAGGTTTTTTTTTTTTTTTCATTTCACATATATGTATTGTTAGTTGTGGAAACAGGTTTGCTGAAATATGTTTAAATACTCTTTTTTTGTGGTGCAGAAACCTGTCTCTATTCTAGCATCAATTCTTCCTGGTCAAGTAGTGGCCAGGAACTGAGTTACGCCTGTGAGTACCACTATGCCAGATGAAGACATTCAACTGGGAATCAACCACATGAAAAGTCATTAGCTAACCTGAGCTTGCGCAGCTGAGCTATGGCTTGGATGTGCTCTTCGCAGAGGTCCATGTTGTAAAGCACTAAAGAAGCCAAGCTCTCTTTCCACTGCGTCAGGAAAAGAAGGTCATTCAGCTGAATCCCTGAAAGATCCAGAGCCGTGAGGGAGGCCAAAGGCCGGAGCAGAGTCTCCACATTCACCCCCTCCGTCATCCGGCCCAGGTTGAGGAAACGCAAGCGGCTGAAGCCTTCAAAGGTGAAATCTTTGACCAAGACTTGGCGGGTGGGGTTGAAGTCATCTTCGCAGCCTCCAGGGTTTTCCTCTTCATAGAAAATATTGGCGCAGCCAAAAAGGCTGAGGGACACGAGGGTGGGGCTGAAGCTGCCCAGAGTCTGGAGGCTCTTGGCTGTCAGCTTCTCACAGTTGGTTAGGAAGAGCTCAATCAAGTCCTACAAGACAAGAGCCAGGGAAACGATTGGGAAAAGTTACCCTTTGATTTATTCATCTGTTTTCATTCTGCCCAATATCTGAAGATCCCATAGTGCCATATGATTAAAATTCTCTTAACTTCTCAGAGGTGGTACAATGGAAAACATGTGAGGAGAATTCCATCAAACTGCTCAATGAAAAGCTAATCCATTCCCTGTGAAAGCTTCCACTAATCCCACTGCTACCACCAAATGTTAGGGATGTCTACCTGTCCCATCATTATGGTAATGAATGTGATTACCTGCATCTCTCCAGACACTATGACACCAAATGTGTGAGCCTTCACCTGTCCCACTGCTATGGCACCAAATGTGGGGGACTATCACCTGTCTCACCACTATGGCATCAAGTATAGATCCCTTCATGATTCCTGTGTGAGAATTTATTTGTATAATCCCAGCAATGGAAACCATCACCCTTGAACTAATGCTGCAACCATGCTACTATGTCTCTGAACTCAATCACACCAAGAACAGTAGTGTAGCATTCTCAGAGGCACAACTGTATAATATAATAGTTATTTTATTGAAAATAAGAAGATACTTTTCCCATCAAGTTCAAAGTTTCATCCAAGATTCTATTGATAAACAGCTGAGTTTTCTACTTTGAAATTATTTCAAGCCTTGCAGCTAAACTGAAAAAAATAATTAGTTCTGTATGTTTTAGTGATCTGCACTGATTATCAAAGAATGAGAATAGTCCAATTTTAGGGTCAATATGAACTGATTTGTTCTTTTGGTTATCATTTTGAAAACGCTGGTCTACTATCCTGTTACCTGTGGGCATCCCACCACATATGTAGATAGGTCCCCTTTGCTCCACAATTTCTCTAGCACTTATTTCAGAAAACTTCCCAGGTATGGCAGTTTGATTGGTATTAAGTACCCATGGCTGATTAACTTGATTACCTGTTGTTTAATATTATTAGTGATAGTCTTAAATGGCAAATTTTTCATAAATAAGACCAGATGTCATTGTCTATACTGTATTTGTAGAATATTGTCTATTCTATATTGAAGTCACTTATCCAAACCTGCCTACCTCTGTAGAGTCAGGGAATTTGGTCTCTATAAAACAGAATAGATTTGGGATATTAGGACTTTGGGATGATCCAATTTCAAGCCTTGTATCTAAACACAAACAAGATAATTAGTTCTTTATGTCTTAGTGATCTTTACTGATGATTAAATGAAGAGTAGCCCAAAATATGTAAGGCCAAAATACCAGTATATTAATGCCAGTAATTAAACTTTAAGAGCCTTTCAACATTTTAGAATAGGGAAAAGACTCTTACAAAAGCTGAGAAACTATAAATGGATGGTGTTAAGGAGTCCCTTGGGGAACCCTAGCCAGGTCATTAGGGGTTCCCATGTGCCCCTAAAATAGCTCAGCACTACACACCAGCACATTGCCTGTAGATCGGGGTGGGCAAAGTGCAGGCTACATATCATCCACAGGGGTCAAAAATATTTTTGTCCCAAAATATCCCCTACGGAGTATGGAGAAATTTTTAGCATTTTAGGTGGGTCTCCCGGTCATTTGAGGCTCAGGGGACTTCCATTTTTTAAAAAAAGCCTCCCCTGGACATAAAATAGACCAGGGCCCTAAAAACATAGTGGAAAAAAGTCCCTCACATCGCCTCGAATGCATTGCAGAGCAATGGGGGACTTTTTTTTTTTTAGTTTTTGGTGTTTCAGGATGAAGTTTTTTTTAAGTTTTAATTTAAAAAAAAATTTTGTTTTGCATACAAATAATTTGCATACAAATAACCCCATCCCTAGCTTGTGGACCCCATGTCAATCAGCCACATGATGACTTTTCCAGAGCTAAAAGGGGCCAAGAGAGAGATCTGTCATAGTCATAACCCAGAAGGATCCAGAGCTGCTACTGAGCATTGGGAGCAGTGAGGGCTTAGAGCAACATACCTGTTTTTGAATGGCTTCTAAATCCTGATCCTGCACAATGTCTTCCCGCAAATGGATTCGTGCCAATCTGGTGTTCCGAGGATCCGAGAAGAGGGTGAAGAAGTTCTCATTGTGCTCAAAAATGCTATCGGCATTTACCAGCTCCACATACCTAACAGAAGGAATGGATGTCAATCGGGGAAGGGATATTAATTAAAACAATAATAAATACCCTGCAAGAAACCATTTGATTGTTTCTTATTGTGGGCATGGGAAACTGTGAAAGGTGGAACCACATTGGTCCCCTGAGGAGATCTTGGAGGGCGGCACCCACATCTGCAACCCCCCTTGGTTTTTAGCTCCCCTCAGGCAATTCCCTCTAGGGGTATGGGGACATTTCCACCATGTTTTTGAGCCTTCCTGGGCAATTTTAGACCCAAGAAAGGCATTTTTTAACACGGAGAGGAAGTCACTTGGAGTTCACTTCTTGTTTCAAAAAAGGCTTCTCCTGGGTCTATATTGTCCAAAGAGGCCCCAAAACATGGTAGAAGTGCACTCCCAGCTGCTAGAGGGCATTGGGAGAAGGAATTTTTTGGACAAATTTCTCAAACTTTTTTTTTAACTGGGAAGCAGAGGGCCTCCAAACATGGTAGAAATATCCTTCAAACATCCCAGATGGCATTTTGGAGCAATAATAATAATAATAATAATAAATGGATCCCTAGGAACCCCTTGGGGTGTTGCATGCATCCCATGGGCCACATGTTGCCCACCCCATTTTATCTTGCCTCAATATAGCAATCCTTCCCACTTTTATAATCTGATTTGACACCACTTTAACTGCCATGGTTCAATGCTATGGAATTATGGGAATTGTAGGTGTTAAAGCTGAGACTACGAGGGTGGTTGAGGAAGGTTTTGAGAGGCAGTGTGGCATAGTGGTTTGAGTACTGGGCTGTGACTCTGGAAACCAGGGTTCAATTCCCCACTAGACCATGATACTGCCTGAATGAGCTTGGGCAAGTCATATGTTCACAGTCTCAGGGGAGGGCAATGACAGATTTTCTCTGAACAAATCTTGCCATGAAACCCCCATGATAGATTTGCCTTAGAGTCACCATAACTCAGAAATGACTGGAAGGCACACAACCACATCAACGTCTGTTGAAGGCAGAGGCCACACTATTTGATGGCGGTGAGGCATTTGGGACACAAAAGAAAGACAAGGCAACGCACTCATCCCTCCCTGTTTGTGCACTTGGAGTCCGCAGTCTCACTCCTTCACGGATGGCAAGTGGGGAGGGACAAAATGGTGTGCGTGCCCAAGAGCAAGAGCAGATTTTAACCAATGGGCTTTGAATTCCTGCATGGCAGGGGGTTGGACTGGATGGCCCTTGTGGTCTCTTCCAACTCTATGATTCTATGAATATTTGTGGCTTTTCCGATTTGCTGGGGGGGGCATCCGGAACGGATCCCCCACGAAACAGGAAGGATGACTATATACCTTTTGTTTCTCTCCCACCACTTTTTATTTTATTAAGTTATTAACAAAATGATATGGTGGCATAATATATATTTTTTTACAAAACAAACAAAACTCTCAACAGGCATTGTGTATTATATCCCAAAAATAAGACTTTCAATGTTTAGCTGAAATCTTTGGTCCATGATAATTTCTATCACTTGTACAGTAGATGTCAGCTTTTCCATAAGTGCCATTTCCCATTTTTTAAAAAAATACCAAGCTTCAATTGAGAAGTGTTTTTTTCCAATTCCAAGCAATTACCAATCTTGCAGAAAAGGAAGAAAAATACAATTAGTTCTTTATGACTTAATGTCTCACAGGCTGCATCCACACAGCAGAAATAATCTAGTTTGACACCACTTTAACTGCCATGGCTCCATGCAACGGAATTATGGGAACTGTAATTTGTGTGGCACCAGAACTCTCTGACAGAGAAGGTTAAACATCTCACAAAACTACAGTTCCCAGAATTCTATAGGATTGAGCCATGGCAGTTAAAGTGGTATTAAACTGGATTATTTCTGCAGTGTAGATGCAGTCAGTTTTCACAAAATATGGAAAGCCGCCCTGTTTTGGGGTCAAGAGAAAGTGCTTGCTTTGTAATTTGACTTATTATTCAAAATATCTTTTTCCAAAATTAAAAGATACTGGCAAACTTTATATTTCCAACCATGGAGAGAAAAGCTTACTGCCTTGTCTTGTTTTTCTCTCCCAAATGATTCCTTCCACTACTATTGTAAAATCAGCATGAAAGATGCACTCTAGGACCCTTCATCATCCTCTAAAATAGTGGTTCTCAAATTTTAGTCCTCCAGGTGTTTTTGACTTCTTGGCCAGCAGTCAGGAATTCTGGGAACTGATGTCCAAAACATCTGGAGGATCAGTGGTTCAGAAACACTGCCCTAAAATGACTTCTAGCATCCATGCTTAATGAAGAAGCCTGCCAGCTTCAAATGTTTGCATACTGTATTTTGGGCCTTTTGGTTGGACTAATAAAGGTATTGCTACAATGGTTGCATGTACACTGCAGAAGTAATCTAGTCTGACACCACTTTAACTGCCATAGCTCAAAGGTGCATCTGCAGTGTGGAGGCATCCAATGTGTGTGTGTGTGTTTTCTTCTGCTGCATGGATTTTGCTGCATGGCCAATATAGCCACTCTGGATATACTTTAGGAAAATACAAGATATTGATGCCTAGATTAGAGTGTGGAAAAGAATGGGCATTGGCCAGGTTGGAGGATTCTGAGGGTTATATTCTAAAACCTAACTTTTCCAAAGCTCTGAATGAAAACACATACCTCACAAAATTCTGTAAACAGGCAAGGAACCTGTACCATAGAAACCTCATCCAGGAGCACAGGGAATATAAATACCAATAACTTACTCATTGACGAGTCTGTCACAGATCTCGCTTGGCAGGAATATATCCGGGTGGAGACGGAGGGTCTCATTGTCCAGCAAGTAGAAGAGGGTCCCTTCCAAGTTGTGAAGACAGTAATCTGTACACAGGGTCATCAGGGACTCCGGGCTGTCAGAGGCCATTTTCTGGCAGCAGAGGGAGAAAAAGAGGGGAGGGAGGAGGAATGTGAGGCGAGGCAATTGATACTTTCTTCCTCCCCCTGTAGAAATTCCCTTCCTTTCTTCCCAGATTTCTGAGTCGACTTCCCAATTGTATCAAGGCAGCTGTGGGAAGATTGAGAGAAAGAGAAACCAGCTATTTTTAAAGCCATTCAACAGATAACATTTCTCATTCCCAGGGAAGACCTGGCTGACTCAACTGACTGACCAATGTATTTATTTATTGTTTATTACAATATTTCTATGCCATGTCACATCAAAAAGATCTCAGGGCAGCTGTCCAAGTAAAATGAAAACAAACAAGTTAAAAGCAGTTTGAAACAACAAAAATAGTTTAAATACAGTAAAAAAACATATGACACAAAATAATAAATTATAACCAAATAAATATTTTAGAATTATTGTAGCACCTTTGAGACCAACTGAACGTCCAGGGACCCTCCACTCCACCCCATGCGTTGCAAGTAGCAGACTAGTGGTTCTCAAACTGTGGGGCAAAACCCCCAGAGGGAACGTGAGAGTTGCTTGGCACCACTTTAACTGCCATGGCTCCAAGTTACAGAATCCTAGGATCTGGAGTTTTGTGAGGCACAAACACTCTTTGGCAGAGAAGGCTAAAGACCTTGTAAAACTACAGATCCCAGGATTCCATAGGATGGAGCTACAGCATTTAAAGTGAAGTCACACTGCATTCCTACAGTGTAGATGCACTCTCAGTTAACACTGACCACCAAACATTCAGTACCTCAGTCTGAGTTGTTTCCAGCTTCAAAAACCCCAACTTTCCACAGGCATTCATACCGCTTTACAATCAGCAGTGAAAGGATATAATACTGAAAGCAACCTATCAAATAATCCTTTCCAAGGGCTGTGTAGATACATCTTTGCTGACACATGGTTAGATGATAGTTGGTAAATTCCACATCCTCTCCTTCTGTAGGACCAGTGTTAGGTGGTCTAAGACAACTCACTGCTTTCCAGGTAAATTCCAAAGTTAGTTGGAGCAGGACAACCATCTCTTTACCAGTGAGTAGGACTGAAAACAGATTCTGTACCTGCTTAACTGGAGTATCACTACAGCAAAAATATCAGTTTATAAACCACTAACTGCATTTCAGACAGATCTAGGGTTGCCAGCTGTCTTTTATTATCTCTGTTATTTGAGATCCAGAGCCCTGTCCCTATTGTAAGGCATATCAGCTATTCGATGGTTGGAAAGTTTTTCCTCTGATACAGATTGAACAAGGGGCCAAACAGTCCTGTAATTTGAAGAGTGGGCCCTTCATAAAGACAGAAATGTGGGCATGAAATGTGTAATTTTTGAAAGTAGACAATATGTTCATTTTGCAGAGAAATACATGGCTAAGCTAACTGAAAACAGGATCTAGGAATTCAAGTAGGCCACAAATTAAACATGAATCAACAGTAAACATCCCAGGGTAGCCGTGTTGGCCATATGGCAAATCCAATAACATCAAAAATCCATCAAACAGTGATGCATTTATTGGCTAACCAAAATGCACAATATACATGTTGCAAGCTTAGCTCCACTGGTATCTTCATCAGGCAAGGTGTCAAAAACCATACAGGAGAAAAAAGTTGAAAAGACTACATAGGCCTGCATTTTGCTGTTTCTGTTCTCAGAAGAGGTATTACTTGTAGGCTTACGCCTCCTCATTCTAACTGTGTGGCTGCTGGGAGATTCTCAAAGTCCAGGAAATTTAACATCCATTTGCAACACACATAAAAAGATATTTCCTTTGCAATCCAATATGTCTCCATCCTTGTGAGGACCAGCAGTTCCCTTTGTTAGGCATAGGACATTGAATTTCTCCAGAAGCCTTCATGCTTTTGCATCAGGAAAACATGAGTCAACAGTGTGATGCAGGAGCTTAAAAAGCCAATCTGATTCTAGGCTGCATCAATAGAAGTATAGCGTCTACACTGAGGGAAGTAATAGTACCACTCTATTCTGCTTTAGTCAGGCCTCACCTGGAATACTTTGTCCAGTTCTGAGCACCACAATTCAAAAAGGATGTTGACAAGCTGAAGCATGTCCAAAGGAGGGTGACTAAAATGATGAAGGGTCTGGAAACTATGCCCTATAAGGAGAGACTTAGGGAGCTAGATATGTTTAGCCTGGAGAAGAGAAGGTTAAGACGTGATACAATAGCCTTGTTTAAGTATTTGAAGGGGTGTCACATTAAGGATGGAGCAAGCTTGTTTTCTGATGCTCCAGAGAACAGGACCCGGAGCAATGGATGCAAGCTACAGGAAAAGAGATTCCACTTCAACATTAGGAGGAACTTCCTGACAGTGAGAGTTGTTTGACAGTGGAACCCATTCCCTCAGAGTGTGGTGGAATCTCCTTCTTTGGAGGTCTTTAAACAGAGGCTGGATGGCCATCTGTAGAGAGTGCTTTGATTGTGTATTCCTGCATGGTAGGGGGCTGGAAATGATGGCCTTTGGGGTCTCTTTCAACTCTGTTATTCTATGATTTATGATTTAGTATTTTGGTTGAACATAAACTTGATAATAGCTTTCTCCTGACTGTCAACTCTGCATGTTAAGAATTTCAACTGTCCCTTACTGTTATTTTGAAAACCCATAAAAACTAGGGTGGATCCCAAGCTAAGAATAATGAAGCAAGATTCTAACTGCTAAACAGATTAATTCAAATTACAGGCATACCTTGGTTTACAAAACTTTTTCCACCCACCCACCCTCCTCTTTTCCTCCCTGTCCTCTAACTGGAGGTACTTCAGCAAAATAGGAATTGGAGAATGGAGAGGTAGATCCTTTTAGTGTCAGGCTGCAAGCAGTGTGTGGTAAACAATGCAATCAAAGCTTGAGATGAGAAAGTGTGGGCTTCTACACTAGTAGATCCTACT